GGAATAATTAGTGCTGGATTAGGTACGCGGTTATTTTCGCAGAGTCCAGGTCACGCAATTCGGCTAGCATTCTTCTCCAAAAATGGTCATGGCCTCAGAACGAATCATTAGCGCTTGTACCAACCTCAACAGGTCTTTAATTTTCGTGCGTATTTCAAAGGCATGTGGATATGCAAGTCCGAACAAACACAGAACAATGCTGAAGATTAATAAGCAGACACAAAAGTATTGCCTGAGTAGCATGAAAGGTTCAATTGTAGGGTGCTTTCATAATCTGCTAAATGGAAACGCCCAGTGAGGACAATGGAAGGTGAAGGTTAGCATTAGTAACCCAAGACTGCTAGAGAGCCACTATTCGGTCTTTAAACTAGAGCCAAAGCCCTCACCTGCTTGCGTTTCCTTTTTAACTCTCCATCCCTGGGCATAAAGTTCTGAACTAAACCTGCAAAATATAAAAGTTACTAAAAGTTGGTGTTTCTGAGCCTTTGTACCCGTATAGTATATCTAGATAAAAATGTCATTTAATAATATCATTTTATTTACCTCTCAGACATGTCAGATACCCCCTGGTGATGGCCATATGCCTCAAAAAACAAAGCTGATGTCATTTCTGTCTATTTGGCCACTTAAATTGTTACTCTGATTGCCTAAAATAGAATTAAATAAACATGCTAATTAAGCTGGGTTTATTTGCCTTTAAGTTAATTTAGCTTAAAAATGTGATTTAAATTAGCAGATAAAGTGTGGCATTGCTTTCAAGCCCAATTAGCCAGGCACTCCAGATGAATCTGGTTTTTTTTTTTACTTCGTTGCTTTTGTGCTAAAATTTCTAGAATCTAATGTTTTACCTACGCCAGACAACTAACCTTTGGGCAATGCTCATGTGGGGTAGCTGAGAGCACCACCGAACCTCATTCTGACACTTTTCCCCTCTTCTTACAGTTTATACATGATAATAAAAATGCTAAAACCGGTTTCTACAAATATTTTGACAGCATATGGGGGGGGGTAGCCCGTAGACGTAGCTGAAGACAAAAGAGTGCGAGAGGGCAAAATGTGCGCTCCAGATGTGCCGAGGTAACAACGAGTCAAGCATCTGGAGATTGGGCTTGTGTCTGGAATAAGGACACGAGGAGAAAAGACGCTCAATCAGCTTTAACTTCATGTAAAGAAAAGTGCATGGCAAAAATAAACTATTTGTATTCATGATAACCATTTAATCATTATTTTAGAATTACATGTGTCTGGTTTTAAAAACTCCACTGTAGTGTAAACAAGTCCTGCTGGAAGTCATCACTCTCAACACAATAATCAACTGAAGTTTTATCAGAAATAAACATGAGCGGTAAGGTACAGCGAGGTATATTTATATAGCTAAATGCCACTTCCTGAAAAAAGATAACATTTAATCTTTTGCTAAATCTTCAAGTCAATGCTGCATACAAAATCGATTTCATAAATCTGTAACTTGTAACAATTTGTGTAGCTTCTCAATAATGTTGAGAACATTTTTTATTCGGACATTTGTAAATGATGTTGGTTTGAGCCCCGCCCCCTCAGCTATCTGTAATGAAATGTCTATCTACAAATTTATTTTACATTTTTTAAATTTTTTTTATAACCCCGGTCCTAAATCCTAATATTGTAGAGACCCACTGGACAGACAGACAGACATACAGATAAACAGACTTATAAAGACAGACAGAAGAGCAGACACAGACCAGTAGACACCGAGAAATGTAATATAAATGAAAAATTTCAGCATGTGGAGGTCCATGGTGATCTGTGGGACTGACACACCCAGTTTGGCCAAAATGTTGTTACCATGACGATGGCCTGTCTGGGAGGAAAATATTGATGTCTGGTGGTTATAATTGGAAATTTGATTGAAGAAGCCACTTCAGAATGTGTCAGATTAATGTAATGGAATTCCACAGTGGCTAATCTTCAGACACTCTGTGCATGCTGTCATGTTTCTTATTAAATTCTTCATTACGCACTGCAACATAGTGCAGAATAATTATATTCGGTAAACAATTAAGATGTGATTATGTAAGCAGCGCGATGTAATAAAGCAGTTTCAGGGGGTGAAATTGCTTGCTGTTACCTTCTTGAAACCTGTGGTATTGTTGCATTTTTTTTTTCTCAGTCTCAGCTCCTGCGTTTGTAATTGGAGTCAATAATCTCACGGCCTCGGGAGGACACGGAAATTCCAGGTGCATCAGATATCTCCCACATAAACAGCGCTTACTCAGTGCTTCTCTCCGTATAGCCGTGTCCTGACTCGTACGGCAGAATGACTCACTGAGCTGATCATTACACCACCTCAGCATGGATGAGCTTTCATTAATGTGGTGTTTCTCAGACCCTGGTGGTTGACAGAAGGGTTATTATTAAACTTCATTCTCACAAGTAATAGACATTGATGTACAGTGTTTTGGCACAGCACCCCATTGATGTTGCTAACTAATTGGCTAATTGCTAATCGGCTAATTAGAGAGAGACGCTACTCTATGTGAATTATGTTTCCGATTACATAGCGAACTGTGGCACTATTTCATTACACACATTGCAATGTATGAACTGATGGACAACTACAGTGTGTTATTGAAATCAGTTAAAAATAATGCCTTGTTTTTTTTAAGACATTGCTTAAAAGGGTGGACATTTAGCATGCTAGAAATAGTGTGCTTAGTGCACTTCATAGGGTGTAAAAGCACATTTCATCCCTTATGTAAGGTAATTATTCCTACTGTGTTAGAAACAAAGGCTCCATCTACCACCAGAGAGTTCCTCTTGTAGAAAAGATTCCAAGCAGAATCCATTTAGAAAACTAGAACCTTGAAAGAAAAAGTGTGTAAGGCCTGGAGCTGAATCTCAAATGGCCCACCCCAAGCAAACCAATCCATGCCCACCTGAAACCCATCCACAATCACCTGAAATCCATTTACCAACCGCACCCCACCCTCATCAACCTGAAACCCACCCACTGAATCCACATCCACCTGACACCCACTCACACACTCCCAAATTCCATCTACTGAACTGAGACCCATCTGAAACCAACCCAAGGCCCCCCAAAATCCAGCCAGTATATGCATACTCACATGAAACCACTCACACCCACCTGTAATCCACCTACTAAACCCAATTCCACCCTCTTGAAACCCACCAAGTTAATCTATGTCCACCTGAAAAGCAACCATACCCACGGCAAATACATTATATGGTCTTGTGGACACCGGACCATCACACCCAAATGGAGGCCTTACCTAAACTTCTCCCACAGATTTGGAAGCACACGATTGTATAAAATGCCTTTGCGTGCTGTAGCATTACAAATTTCTTTCACTAGAAATAAGAGGCCCAAACCTGTTCCAGCATGACAATGCCACTTTGCACAAAGTGAGCTCCATGAAGACATGGTTTTCCAAGGTTGGAGTGAAAGAACCCGGGTGTCCTGCAGAGCCCTGACCTCAACCCCACTGAACACCTTTGGGATGAACTGGAACGCCGAATGCACCCCAGGCCTCCTCGCCCAACATCAGTGCCTGACCTCACTAATGTTCTTTTGGCTGGATGAGCATAAATCCCCACAGCCACTCTCCAAGATCTAGTGGAAAGCCTTCTCAGAAAAGTGGAGCTTATTATTGTAGCTAAGCGGGGAATAAATCTGGAACAGAATGTTCAAAAACAGACATGAGTGTGATGGTCAGGTGTCCACAAACCTTTATCTATATAGTGTACGACTTCTGAACCTGTGCCCACCTGAAGCCCACCAATAACAATCGGCGGTCCACCCACAACAACCTGAAACCAGAGAAGGGCAATTAACCCATGCTCACATACTAAACCTATCCACAACAACCTGAGATCCACCTGCTGTACTCACACTCACTTAAAAACCCACCAACTGAATCCAGGCGCACCCAACTTCTGAAACTTTGCTCACCTGACACTCACCCACTGAACCGAAATCCAGCCACTGAACCCATGACCTCTTAAAAACCCAACAACTTGACCCAGGCCCATCTAATGAAGCATTTCTCACTTAAATCCCACCCACGGATTCCACCTATGCCCACTTGCAATCCACCCACTAACACTATTCCCACTGAAAAACACAAATAATGAATTTATGTCCACCCAAACTCATCCACTGAACATTTTCATGGTTGGAATAAAATTGTCAAAAAAAAAAAACAAAACAAAGAAAAGGTATGAGCAGCTGAATTATTGATAAATAGCTGCAGGGTTTGATGTGTCATGAAATAAAGATTTTTAAAGATTGTAGGTTTTGTTAACAGAAGAGAGATTCCCTTGATATGAGCAAGCAGAACCGCCGAACAAAAGAACAATGAGTCTAAAACAAAGAAAGCAAAGACCAGGTGGAGAATGGAACCTAACGAAGCCGGTGTAAGAATGTAGAAAACTACATAATTCCAGCGTCCTGAGACTTTCTCTCCTTTGTGTGATAATTCCAGGAGCATGGAGAAGTAAACTTCCACCACTGTGGCCTAGATAGAAGTGACAGCAAGCTGCATGGGCCAAAAGCATCACAGATCTACAGCACAGCTCCGCTCCAGCACTTTTATTCCACTAGCGGCAGAGAATGCGCTACAAATTCACCCCCTTTAGTGGATAACCAAATCTGACGGTGCGACGCGGCTGTAACATGATGATGTAAGCGTACACTGGGTTTGGGCCAGAGGTGTTGAACTGAGACCAGGACAGAGTTCAGATCAGATCAGGAAAGAGCTTGAGACAGAGACATGGCTGTAATATGGTGTATTAAAGCAGCGCTGGGAGACACTGTGACATCACAATACACTTTCCTCTAAATAATGCAGGTATCATCAATGCTTCTGCAACAATGAGCATGTTCGTGTGACTCATGAAGATTTAGAAATGACATTATTGGAGATTTTTTTTGCTTGCTTGCTTGCTTGCTTGGTTGGTTGGTTGGTCAGTCGGTTGCTTGCTTGCCCGCTTGCTTGCGGGCAGTCATGGCCTAATGGTTAGTGAGTCGGACTTGTAACCTGAAGGTCGTAAGTTCGAGTCTCAGGGCTGGCAGAGATTGTAGGTGGGGGGAGTGAATGACCAGTGCTCTCTTCCACCCTCAATACCATGACTGAGGTAAGACCCTTGAGCAAGGCACTGAACCCCCAACTGCTCCCTGGGCGCCACAGCGAAAAAGGCTGCCCACTGCTCCAGGTGTGTGTTCACTACTGTGTGTGTGTACTTGGATGGGTTAAATGCAGAGTACAAATTCCTAGTATGAGTCACCCTACTTGGCCACATGTCACTTATTTCTTGATTTTTTATTTTATTTCTTTCTTCCTTTCTTTTACCTCAACACTTCCTTTGTTCCTTTCTTGCTTGCTTTATTTCTTTGCTCCTCAACCATTTCTTTCTTGCTTTATCTATCTATCTATCTATCTATCTATCCAACATTCATTTTGCTCCTCAACCCTTTCTTTCTTTCTTTCTTTATTTATTTGTTTTTTAGTAATTTAATTTTTTTCTTTCTTTTTGCTCCTACCATTACCAGCACCAAGAGTTTCCCTTATTTTGGACAAACATTCCCCTACTCCCATAACTGTGTTCATAGTCTACTTTAGAAGTTGAAAAACGTCCAGAAAGTGAGGAAATTCTCCAGTTGAAAAGAGACAGAGGAATGTCCACTCTTTCCAAAATCTTGACCTCTCTTCACAGTTTTTATTTTGCTGTGACCCCGGTGCTGGATTTCAACTTCACTGCCCCATGTTTAGTGGACATATTGGACAATGTTAAGACATTTCAATATTGTTTATGAAAAGAAAAACCATCCACATTAAATCCACATAACCATTTCAGGATAAAAATGACCCAAGATATATGATTTTTTTTAAAAATGAATTAATAGGAGAAAATTCTCCAGAGAACAAAAGGAAGTTTTCTTTCAAACTTTTGAATGTGTCCCGAGGGGCCTCGATGGGTGATGGAAGGTTCTCTAAATCCGCTCTTTAAACGGAAAAGGCTTCTGAGCAGAGTCGACAGAGGCCAAGAGGCTGCTTCGTCTCCAAAAACATAAACACATGTCAGAAGAGTTTGGAGAATGACCGAGCAACACGGCGATAAAGCAGAAAGACGCTTGGCCCTGAAGACATGGTCCAAAACACCTCCATGACCAGCGGCACGAGCTTACACATTTATCCTCAGACTTCAGGATCTTTTTAAGCCTGCAGAGAGATGCAGGAAGTGAGACGGCATCATGACTCACTGGCTTTCCCTGCAGAAATTCTTCCATGGATTGCCAAGACAAAAAAAAAAAAAAAAATTGTAGGCAATTCTTCAAGATGCTTCAGATTATGGGACTTAATTGTTGTGGCATCATTGCTGCTTTGTCTCAAAGGTTCCACCAGGTTCCTGTTTTTTGAGAAAGGTGACTCTCGAGTTACTACTTCAAGCATGGCCTTGGAAACATCTCGGTTCCTCAAATCGTAAACCATACAGTCATCATTTGATGATGAAGTAGCACTGTTGCTAAGCAACTGGACATGAGATTACCGTAGCTATTTACTGAAACTGACAATTTAGCTAGACACACATTTGAGAGTGGAAGTGAGGCCGGTCCATCAGGAACATCAACGTTTACCTCAGATTTGTCGTACAATTGCTATGAAAAGACTCTGGATGACTGAAATTACTCCATAATTACACTCGGCATGGAAAGCTAACCTGTATTCGGTATGAGCTGCCATTTTGACAGACATTATCATTGTGTCACTACTTTCAAACTCTTCCACAGTGGTGAGCAGCACAAGAGTGGAATCTTCTTCATGGTAAACACGATGAACGCAGTGATAAGCTACAGTACAACCACCAGCTGAGGTAACCAATGAGAAACTGAGAAGAAAGATGGGGTGAAGTGGCCCAGTGGTGAAAGATGTAACGTGTGTGTGTGTGTGTGTGTGTGCGCATGCATATGTGTATGTGTGTGTGTGTGTGTGTGTGTGTATGTGTATGTGTGTGTGTATGTATGTATGTATGTGTGTGTGTGTGTGTGTGTGTGTGTGTGTAAAATAAACTCTTGGGCATCAGAAACACTTCCAAAATCAGGATCTGTTTTTTTCTCTCTACTGTCTTTCCTTCTTTTTCTCACACTCTTTCTTTCTTTCTTTCTTCTCTATATTTTCTCTCTTTCTTTCATGGTCTCTATCTTCAAAATCTTTCTTTCTTTCTTTCTTTCTTTTGTCTCTCTATTTTCTCTCTTTCATGCTTTCTTTCTTCCTTCACAATATTTCTTTCTTTCTTTCTTTCTTTCTTTCTTTCTTTCTTTCTCTTTCTTCATGCTGTCTTTTTTCACACTATTTACTCAACTCTTATTTCTTTCTTTCTTTCTCTCTTTCATGCTCTTTCTTTCTTCTCTATATTTTCTCTCTTTCTTTCATGGTCTCTTTCTTCACAATCTTTCTTTCTTTCTTTCTTTCTTTCATCTCTCCATTTTCTCTCTTTCATGGTCTTTCTTTCTTTCTTTTTCTCTCATTCTTTCATGCTCTCTCTTTCTTGACACTCTTTCTTTCTTCCTTTCTTTCTTCCTTCACAATATTTCTTTCTTTCTTTCTTTCTTTCTTTGTCTTTCGTCATGCTGCCTTTCTTCACACTATTTACTCAGCTCTTCTTTCTTTCTTTCTTTCTCTCTCGTTCATGCTCTCTCTTTCTTGACACTCTTTCTTTCTTTTTTCTTTCTTTCTTCTCTCTATTTTCTCACTTTCTTTCTTTCTTTCTTTCCTTCCTCATCAACTCTTTCTTCGATTCGGTCCCTCGTTTCGGAAGACAGCATGAGGTGTCTGTATGTCTGGACAAATCCGGCTCAGAGAAGGTGATAATTCCGTAATTCTGGTCAGGCAGGACAGGAGGATTTGCTCTGAACACTGAAGAACAGATGCAGTGAATTTTTGTCACATAAAGTCCAGTGTAGGAAGAAACGCCGGTGACTCGGCGCATCAGCATTGTGGTTTTTATCTGCGTCGTTTAGGTGAACATTCAGATCATGTCTCGAGACAGCGCATGGCGTCATCCTCCATCCAGGTCACAGAGATCTGTGATCGGCACATGACTAAATATCCCACGTGTTCGTCTTTAACTAACCGGCTAACCCAGGGACAAGCGCGTCACTGCTGTTAAGAGAACACTCGAGTGTGTAAGGCTTGCGCTCTTAAATCCGCTGAGTGAATTCCCGAGCGCTTTCTGCTTGCTGAGCACGTCTTCCAGCGGTAATAATTCCTGCTCTGTAAACGGCAAGCAGGTTGTCTGGGAACGAGTTTGGCCTCCGTCGAGTCTTTATGAAGTGCCGCTGAGCCGCTCCAGTCAATTCAGACTCCGCCGTCATCGCCAATATGCGCACGTGTTACATCATCGAGGGACAGTGACGCATGGTCGCGATGGCTCGTGTCAGGTCTCCTGCCTGATATCAGCTGAGACTGAGTGAGAGAAACGGCATAGAAAATGTCTCCTGCGAGGGAAGAGAGACAGAGAGAGAGAGAGAGACAGAAACAGAAATAGAGACATACAGATACAAAGAGACAGACAGAAAGAAAGATAGAGAGGCAGCCAAAGAAACAGGGAGAGAGAGAGAGAGATAGAGGAGGAGACATGGAAAGAGAGACCGAGCGAGAGAGTAAGACAGAGAGCGAGATAGGCAGACACGGAGAGAGACATTTTAATGACAACGTGATGAGGGAGTTTCCATTTATGCACCCGGGTCAAGAGGATACAATGGTTCCCTGCACCTTTTGTAATGCGTAAGGTGAAATCTGGTCACCTTAGAGTAAGAGAGAGAGAGAGAGAGAGAGAGAAACATGGAGAGCAAGGCATACATAAAGACAGAAGTAGAGAGAGCCAGACAGGCAGACAGAGAGTGGAAAGAGAGAGGCAGACAGTGAGAGAGAGAGAGAGAAAGACAGACAAATAGGAAGAGATTAAGAGACAGAGAGTGCTCACCTACTCATCACCCTGTACCATAAACTATATTATATTACATTACATTATATTGTATTATATTGTATTATACCTAACAGGCTATGAATGGAAATGTAGCGCTCAGGCTAATAATAGGAATAGTTACTGCAACTTCCCTCCTGTTCTTGAGAAACTGTACTGAACTGTCCGATCTTATCTGTGCTATTTCCATGTAATGGCTGTTATCTTCTCACTGTTTAACTGCTGTAGCAGATCTGGCTCCAGGTTACCGTTGGAGTTTACCATCAACATCAGCGGCATACCTGTGTGCAGTCTACATCCTACCACACGAATCCCTCGGTTTTAATGAGGACATCTTTCCCACCGTGAAAGCGGAGATCGTTCCTGTTCAGACAGGGGGAAACAACTACGTGGAGATCTAAAGGCTAGAATTTTGCAAAGAAAATGATTTCGTTCCCACACACAGAGATGCCAATATAGCATGAGCTGGAAAGGTTGTCACAAAGAAATATCGCAGTACAATCAACAAAAAAATGGAAAAACAAATTCACCAATCTATTCAAACCTGTCCATCCTGAACAAACGGAACAAATGGCAATTCAGCCAGAATCCCCTGGAGGACAAAATGTCACTTCTTGAAGTAAGAAGACCCTCAAATTAAAAGTAATGGAATGATTAAATATAGTAATGACAGATGCACAAGGCTTTTACCAAATTATTCAACCTTGTTGTAGATACTGGCAGTTTCCCTAAAATCTGGAACCAAGGCCATATTTTCAAAACTGAGCCAAGAGAGGCAGTCTGGGTAAAGTGTTCTGCAGTATTCTAAAATGCACACATTCTCGCCTTTACACAAAAACATAACCTCCCAAATACGAAGCAAATTTCTTTCTACCTAAACACCACAGCACAGAACACATCTATGCTCTTCACACGCTTATAAACACAATCAGGAAAAAACAACAACAAAAAAAAGTCATTTGACTCAGTCTGGCATGAAGGACTGACGCTTAAACTCCTCAATTCTGGTAGAGAGGCGGGAAAGTGTTTGATTTCATTAAGTCAGTGTACCAAAGAAATGAGTGTGCTGTAAAAATTGGACATAAAAA